GGAATCAAAAAAGAGGACAGAGCCAGGCAAGGAAAAGACATAGAACACATAATATATATATATAAAGGTATATAAAGGAAGAAAAAGAGGGGACAAGAGGGGGGACAGGTGGGAGAGCTGGGACGCGTGGAGCCACTAAGATGGCACACGCCAGGTGATGAGAGGGGAGACTGTCAGGGGGAAGGGAAAACAACAGTGTAAGAAGAGTCAAAATGAAGACGGTCTCTGGGGTACCCTTTCCAGACGGTCTCTGCGATGTTGCATCTAGGGAGCCCTCATGCCGTTTGTACAGACCAGGTTGAACACAGATGCCAGGGGAAAGGGGAGAAACAATTGCTGCTATGTGCCAACTTTCATCCTTGGCTTGTGTCTTCATGTCTTCGAAGGATGATCATGATGATAATGATGCTAAGATGGCACACGCGGGTTTGGTAGGAACGATCATTTCATGTACCCAGGCACATTAAGATGGCACATGAGGGGGGTTTGCTGGGCACTGTAAGATGGCACATCGGGCTCAGGCATCAGTGGATGAGAAATCATGGCAATCAACCATGTGTTGGCAGAAAACCTGCATATTTTGCAGGTTTTGGTTTTGCAAGGCATCGATGATTTTTTTTTGATCAATATGCCATCTACTTTCACCTGTTTCCATGTGCCATTTTGCAGTGAATCCCTATATATACCGTTTTGTTGGTAACTTCAAGGCCGTCAAGCCAACAAAAGGACTGCATTTGTTCACTGTCATCGAAATATGAAATACCCTTGTATTTTCCTGTAGATATGACCAAGCAAGGGGCATCGACAGGTATAGCTTAGCCAGTCAACGTTCTACTCTAGTTTGTCTCTTCGCTTTTGGCAGCGAACTCCTTGGAAGACCAGTGAAAAACATCCACCCTCTTGGAGAGCTGTTTGCCGGGTAGGTCCCGGCCGCCTGAGGCAGAACTCCGGCCGCTTCATGAAGCTGATGAACCGGACCAGCGCATGCTCAAACTCCTCGAAGGCGAAGAAATCCTGACGGGCCAGCACTGATGTTGTTTCTTTACCAAAAGCCATTATATAACTTGTTCAAAACTTCTAAGCTCTTACTACACAGAAACATGCACTTGAGAAACACATGAACCCAATCGATCCACTCACATGTATATATATTATATATATAATACAGTATATTATGAGAGATTTGCATGCCAAATTTGCCCACCTTCTTGACCAAATCTACTGGACGTCGTTCATCAGTCCACGCACCGTGCGATTCGTGTGGTCACGCACCGTGCGCCAGGCCCCTATGCCTACCTTCCAAAGACTGCCCAGCCACGAATGGATCCCTGGCAATCTCGAGTTTCTTGGGCGGCATTTTGGTGCCGTCCTGGCAGGTTTTTGGAACAAAGACGATCCAAAGACGGAGGGTGTGTGGGAAAGGTCTAGTAATTTACTATACATACATGCAGCGCATCTCCTCATGTACGTTCCTAATTCTTGGACTTCTCAACAGGCTTACCTGCAAGATACGAGTTTGATTGCAAGTTTGACCATTTGCCTGCACTTGTTTGGTTACCAGTAGAACATTGTGTCGTTGCGGATGTTGCAATTTTTTGTTTTCGATCGTGAATGGAGTGGGTCTCCATGCTTGCTTGACTGCAGACGCTGCAGTCACTTATAACTTATGACGGAAGCTAAAAGGATCGTGATGTGTTCTTTCCACACCGTGAGCGATGCCAGGCACATCATGACCATTCTTCTACTGCGATGTTTTGACAAATGCTAGATTCACGATTCACATTGACCGAAGCAACTGGTGACAGATGACACGAGGATTCTTGTGGATTCTTGTGCATGCTGCACGGTGATTCTTGGCCCCCAAAAAACCAGCTCAAATACTACCTGGGTGCTTTTTTGTTGGGTGCCGGTGCCCCGTATTTGTTGGTGCTTGGCGGGCGTCACTCCAGTCATTCCATCGAGATCGCAATGCGCAAAGCATATGTTTTCTGTTAAGGTTGCCAGCTATGGGGTGGACCCAAGTGCTTCAGGCAGGGAAAGACAACACCGTTTGAAGATGACGGATAGCTTTGAGTTGTTTCTACTCATATCACTATCTCCACCTTTCCATGCACCTCAACACATTCGTCTCCACAAAAGCCCCGAAAAGTGGCCATTTGCATATCCGCTTCGTCGCGAACAACGTTGCCAGCGCCAGCGGAAAACATCGTGAAACCTTCAGACCAGACGGTTTCAAAGGCCCAGACAGATCGGGAAACCATGTTTGTGTTTTCCTATATTTTTCCAACCTCACATAGGAATTCAGAGATTTGACCAAGCAACTGGATGCACCTTCACGTGGATTGTTGTTTTTTGTCTTTCGAAAGAACAGGTTCACAGGCGTTTCAATTTTCTGTGTTTTGATGCACAGCAACAAACTGAGAGCAAAAACAGCACCGGTGTCCCCGACGCACCTGAGAGCAAAGGAGACTCTTAAACAGAAGAATTGGCTTTTCCTTCAAAAACCTACAGCTGATAGTTTGATTGACCGAGTGACCGATGCTGATTTAGACCGTGTGACCCATCGCATTGGGACAACTTGTGACCGCCTTTCAACTGCAGTCAATCTGTTCATCACCAGATATCTGTCGTGGGGTACTTTATAGATGGTGGAGAGCTGCTAGCTGTTCGTTTAGTTTGGGATTTCACGGGTTCCGGGTGACGCCCCCGACCGCGAGCGAGCGAGCAAAGGGGTGTCCTGTCACTCCACGGGTCGGCCTTCCGACGGTGGGAAGCCCGTCATGGTGGGAAGGCCATTGGTACCGACAGAAGGCCATTAATGGCCATGCTTGTGTCCAATGCAGAGGTCTTGGCCCTGATCCCCGCGCCCTTCAAAGCACAGCTCACTGCAATTGGGGGTTGCTGGCAACTTGATTTCTTGGTGCAGATTCCTTGTTTTGCTTGAATCAGCTTGTTGAAACGTTGTTCTCCGAATATATGCACCAAGATGTGAAGTTTGTTTGTTGTCAATACTACCTTGTGCTTCACATGATGTGTTCATGTGATCAACCTGTGTTTGGTGAAATATGTTCTGAACAAAAACAATGAGGTTTCTCACTTGCACCATGTGACAGGTGAAAAGCACTCCTGGTGGCACACTGCAAGCGAAGGCGGGTCCGCGAAATCCCGGGTCATCCGGAAACACAAGGAACATCACATGGATCATTTTCTGTTACCATGGTACTTAGAGTTATGTTCAACAATTCAACGGATCCGTTTGTTCCGCCTTTGTTACCTGATTGTGAGACACAGATCGACCTCGTTTGGCTGAGGGAATCCTGTCTGTGAAAAGCATTGAAAAAAACAACCACCGAGTTTGGTGTTGCATGGTGTGGCACCTTTCAAAAAAAACACGCTTGAAAAGCACCACACGATTTCCAAGTTCATCCGATGGTACAACTTTTGAAAGACCAGAGGGAACAAGTTTTATCGGTGATGAACGTTTGTTGAGCACGAAGAACACCAAAACTGAAAGACTGGTGGTATGTGAGCACACCAAGAACGCTATCCGTTTCACCAAGCATGGTTGGCAGATAGCCCGACCTCCTCTCATGCAAAGGATACTGCGAATAGACCACACATCAAAAAGCTTACCGTACGACAAGTAATTCAACGAGGATCTCCAGTTCCTTCCCCCAAAGATCTCCATATTTGATCCAATGCTTCCAGAGATCTCCATCTTTGATCTCAATATCTTTGGATCTATCCTGCTCCTCAGACGCCAGCCCTGACAGCACTATTCAGTGCCACGGTCAGGCGCTGTCAGCGGTGCTTGGTCCACCTCCACGGCCTCCATGGCGAAGCGCTCGGCGACGCACTTTGGCCTCGAGGCGGCACGCGGCTTCGGCCGTCGACGCGGCCTTCGGTGCTGACCGGGGATTGTGGTGGCTGTGGTGAGTGAACATGCATGTATAGTTGAAGTTGTGTGTGGGTAATATAATATACTATTATTGGAAGGGGTTGTAATACTAAAATATCAATTTTTGCTTGGATAATAAGTTGATGGGGGCTGGGTGGAAAAGGACACGTGGACAGGAACAAGGGGTTTGGTTTGGGATGCCATTATTAACAGAGAGGTTTTATGATTTAGTACACGCATCATGGGACATCCATCAACAGCAGCAAATCAACCAAGAAAACTACCGAACTGTCAGAGGATCGCTCCTAGAAACAGACTCAATGTTGGGATTACTTTCCCTCAAACAAACACATGAAGTCATGGACGAGCCGGCAGGTCTTTCAGCGGTTCTTGCAAGTGGAGCAGGAGCCGAGACTGCAGTGGCTGGCGGATGAGATGATGCACGCTGAGCTGCCGGAGAGCCACCTGATCGAAAGGCAGAGACCCAAGTGGATTTGTATATTTCCTTCACTGGAGTTCACCACCTGTTTGTGTAGAGGAAAATGATCTTTCCAGAGGCCATGCCATCCACTTCCATGGTATAGTTCAAGGGAGTGTAGTATTTTGATAGTGACTTCCTGTGACTTCCATGTTTTTTCCCCAAAGAGTTTACTGTTAGGGGTTCTGAATTCTTTCTTAAGATGTGTCCGCCCTTTCTGTCACTGCTGGCGTCCGCCCTTTTCCTCTGACCATGCAGCATTTCTATTCATTTGTCTCCCAGGTGACTTCTTTACTTTTGTCTCCCAGGTTCGGTGCCTGCACTGCTGGTGTCCGCCCTTTTCCGCTGGCCATGCAGCATTTCTATTCATTTCTCTCCCATGCGATTTCTTTACTTTTGTCTCCCAGGTTCGGTGCCTGCACTGCTGGCTGGTGTCCACCCTTTTCCGCTGGCCATGCATTCATTTGTCTCCCAAGTGATTTTTTCCCCAAGCAGGGCCGCAAGCAGGTTGCTGTTAGGGGTTCTCAATGCTTTCTAAGAGTGTCCGCCTTGCTGCGGGACAGCGTGTCCGCCTTCCGTCCGGCTTGTCTCCCATTGTCTCCCTTCTTGTTGGTCACTGTGTCGGCCTTGTCTGGTCACTGTGTCCGTTTTGTCTCCCTTCTCTCTCCTTTTGTCTCCCTTCTTGTCTCCGGTCTTGTCTCCCTTCTTGTTGGTCACTGTGTCCGCCTTGTCTCCCTTCTGTCTCCGGTCGTGTCTCCCTTCTTGTTGGTCACTGTGCCCGCCTTGGTCATTGTGTTTGCCTTGTCTTCCTTCTTGTTTGCCTTCTTGTTGGTCATTGTGTCTGTCTTGTCTCCCATCTGTTTCCTTTTGTCTCCCTTCTTGTTGGTCACTGTGTCTGTCTTGTCTCCCTTCTGTTTCCTTTTGTCTCCCTTCTTGTCTTGCGGTCATTGTCTCCCTTCTTGTCCCCCTTCTTGTTGGTCATTGTGTCCGCCTTGTCTCCCTTCTTGTCTCCGGTCTTGTCTCCCTTCTTGTTGGCCCCTGTGTCTCCTTTTGTCTCCCTTCTTGTCTTCAGTCTTGTTTCCCTTCTTGTTGGTCACTGTGTCCGGCTTGTCTCCCTTCTGTCTCCTTTTGTCTCCCTTCTTGTCTCCGTTCTTGTTGGTCATTGTGTCCGTTTTGTCTGCCTTCTTGTCTCCCTTCTTGTTGGTCACTGTGTCCGCCTTGTTGAAGGTTGCCTTAGGCGCCGAAACTTGCGGAGAGTGCAGGGGCCGGGGTTTTGTGCGGCAGCAAGGGCAGCCAGTGTCCAGAGTGTCGAGGATTCAATCGAGTGTGCCGGGTTCCCGAACAAGATGCTTTGGAAAGGGGCTCTGTGGAGCATCGAGCCCTTCTTTTGGCTTTGGCCTTGCGTGGCGTGGATGCCATGCGTCCTGAATCTGCACCCTTGGGCCGCGAAGAATTTGCCGCCTGGCAGTTGATTGCTGGGGAGTGCAAGGTTGCTCCAGGAAAACTCTTTTCGCAAGGCTGCGAAGTGGGATTGCGGAGCTCGTCGAGTTCCTGAGTCCTTTCGGGGGAATGGTGCCAGTGGAAGGTGCGCCTTACTTCTCGCCTCTTGCAGAGGCACATGAGCATCGGTATCAGCCCTCAGTGGCTGATCGAAGGTGTGCCTGCCTTGAGGAAGCATTGGAAAGAGAAGGGCTTCGCACTTAGAGAGCGGAAAGGATCAAGGCCTGCCCATTCCACGCGGTGGTGAGGACAGCGGCCCAAGAGCCGATTGGGGCAGTTGGTCAGAGCCGCCGAGCCAAGCAAGGACGGACTTGGTTGGCAGGCCAACCCCGGCCACCAGAAGAGTTGATAGCGCGGAAGAAAGCCGAGTCCAGTACGTCCGGCTCTGACAGGTGTGGTGCAGCTCCCTCTGGGTATGCTGTGGCCAACTTGACTCGTTTGAAGCTGGATGCAGTCGGAATGGTGATGGCAGCCGACGCGCAGAGGTTCCAACGAGGCGGCGTTCCTCTTTCTCCAGCAGGCCGACGGGCCCTTTTGCAGGAGATGTTGGAAGCCGAGCCTCAGAACGCGCGCGACGCTGCCCTGCAACTAGCTGCACAGCTGGAGCGATCGGAAAGAAAGAAGAAAAGAAGTTGCATATTGTGTCCGTCTTGTCTCCCTTCTGTCTCCTTTTGTCTCCCTTCTTGTCGGTCATTGTGTCCGCCTTGTCTCCCTTCTGTTTTCTTTTGTTTTCGTTCTTGTCTCCCTTCTTGTTGGTTATTGTGTGTTTCCTTTTGTCTCCCTTCTTGTCTCCCTTCTTGTTGGTCACTGTGTCCGTCTCGTCTTCCTACTTGTCTCCCATGTTTCAAAAAATGGACTTGGGAATGCTTCTTTGTTGTCCCACCTGTTTGGGGTCTGCGGTGGTGTAATTGTGAGTGTTTTTTGTCGTGCTCGTAGCAAGGGTCTTTGTACCTCTCTTCTAATGCACACCCAAGCAAGGTGTATAATTATATACTATACGTAGTTTGTAAAACCCAACGGATGGTCTGATTGTCGGGCCGGGCCAAGCAGAACCAACATTTCTGACTTTGTCTTGCCGCGAATGAACATGCATGCATATATAGAAAGAAAGTCACATACAGATACATACATAATTATGTCCCAAAGTAAACCAAGAGGCCCTTGGGAAAAAAAAAAACAAACAGCTGTCTATAACGGGATGTCCTCAAAACCTGGTCTGACCAGGTTCACCTCGAAACTTGTAGATCTTTGACTGACCAGGCTCACCTGCGTCACCCGTGGCTCCCCCACCGCTTCTCACGTGGCACGTGAGGCACCTACCCCATCGATCCACTCTCGGTGGAGGGTCGCAGCCTGGACCGAAGCTCGGTGGAGGCGTCGCGTGACGCGTCCGACTGGACCGAGTCCAGCTGAGAGGTCGGACCTGGAAGGATCCTGGGAGGTTTTTGGTGTTCATCCTTCCAAAAAGGAAGGTGCTCAGTGGGTTTAGGATGACCCGGGCACCAAGGATTGTGTATGGCTGAGTATGTTGAAGTGCTTGTGAAAGCTTGTGGGAAGAAAGCTGTCAGGTGTCATCCACGGTTGAGCATTTGCCAACGAGTTTTCAATATGTTTGCCAAGGAGTTTGCACGAACAATCGCGCTGTCGATCTCAAAAGTGGCAGCTTTTTGGGGGATGCGGGACACTGAGACTGTCTCAAAGGCAGTAAAGCAGGACAGGGGCAGGGTGAGGCTCAGGGTGGTTTCCAGTACGTACTCACTGAACAAGGCTCCAGACATCCGTTTAGTTGAACTCCAGACATCTCTGCCAAGAGGCAAAGTAGATACAACTCCATGTTTGACCGGGTTTCTGATGTGGACACCCATGTAGGATCAGCCAACATGTGAATTCCTCGCGGTTCCATGGTTAATGATTTGGATTAAAGCTAACTCTAATGAATCACAAAGTCAATCAAAGTCATAACACATACAAAAAACAATGCAAATAAACATACAAAAATAATCAAACAAAAACATACACAAAATAGGGCGCACGGTTCTAATGAACAGGAACACTAGGTTGCTGCCTGACACCAAGAAGGCCTCGCAAGAGAAGAACACCCTAAACAGGAGCCCTCCTTCAAAAACAACAAACCTGTGGAAGCCTTCAACCCTTTTCAAATAAAATTGTAGTTCTATGGTGGTAAAGGATGGTAAAGACGTCAACCCCCGCGTGGTGTGCCCACTACATGAATTCGCACCAGAAACACCCGGCTCCATTGCCAGTAGACCGTTCTTTGCGGACCGGATGTTGAACCGACAAACACCTACTCCATTATTGAAACTGAAACAGCAATCTATTGTTTCATGTCCACTTTCATGATTGTACTAGGAGAATCTTGGATATATGATATATGCATTACACTTTCAAGTGTTCCCATACCGCAGCCCAGGCCACAGCCGTTGCCCAACACCTGCGCCGCCTGTGGCCTTCGTGAGGATCTCCCACGCCACAGGCGTTCCGGCTGCTTTTTGAACGAAAATCCAGAACACCCGCGTTCCACCCGCGGGAACCGATGGGGAGGATGCTTGAAACTAGTAGCTCCTGGCCATACTAGTAACAAGAAGCTACTAGGAGCAAGGGCATTTAAACCCCTTGAAACTCACCCTCAGGTGAAGGGACCGGGTTTGCTGTCGGTGTCCACCCTCGCCACGTCCATGCAATCGAGCCGGCTGGGGCTTCCGGGGGGCAAGGGTCCAGGGGTGATCTTCCACATGTTTTAGATTTGTGTCCTGGTAACGCACATGAAAGCCTCACATGTCTGCTGAAAAGTCATGGATAAAGCAGGGCTGTACTGGTTGGGGTTCAATGTTGTACTTGCTTGCAAAGCTTTATGTTTGTGTGTATTTGTTTTGAAAAGGTTGTTTGCTCGCTCTTGGTCTATTTTGAAGGTCGGCAACACGTCCTTCCGACACTCCTTATCAGGGTGTTCACTTTAACAAAAAACAATACCATGTGAAAATGTGGTGCTGATGTTCAGCCAAGTGAGGTTCCACATCCTGAATCGAACCGAGTGATCATCAAATGTAGACTGTTGATGAATAATCCCCGCAGATGAACAGGAAATCCAATTCAAATCGAGGGGTTATTAGTCAGGAGTCTACATGATAGCTTAGCTGCGGGGTCGCAACTGGGTCTTCCACAATCAGGAAGAACCTCCACATATGGGTCCCAGCTCAATCCATGCAGCCCATCAGTTAGGGGGGCGCCTCCAAAGCTGTTCACATGCCATGTCGACCGGTCACAAAATCGGGTGGCTGTGGATCCTTGGGGCAAAGAAGCACCCCATTTGGTGTGTAAAACTTCTGCATTCAGGGTGGATACTATCTGATTAGGGTGGATATTGATCACATTTAGTTTGGTTGTTCTTCTATTTGTTGTTGTCCCTGTGGGTTTCGGACCAGAGACGGTCGACCAATTGGTCCCAAAGGCTTTGGCCTTCTCCACGGAGCAGTGTTGCTTGGACAGCCGTGAGGCTGCCTGGATGAGGATGCCGAGCTCTTCTTTGAGCATCCCTACCAGGAGAGGATTTGCAGCCGCGATAGTGTTCGATACCGTTGACCGCCTTGATTTGCTTGGGTCTAGCAGCCCGCCCGCAAGTTCTCGAAGTTGCTGTAAACACGTCGGTCCAAAGAGAGATGTTCATGAGGATCGTTTAGTAAACATGAAACATGTTTATTGATGTGGTGCCATCATTGTTTTCAGAATGTTGATGATTACGCTTGAGGATGTGACTCTCTGACCACTGGATGTTTCCGTCCATGTTTCAGGTTTGACTACGTCGCACTGTCTCACTCCTCAAGCGTGTTCAACATGTTCTTGCCTTTCACCCAATTCCCGGTGACGAGGCAATTGCGATGCCTCTACAGTGAGCCCGCAAGTGGGTGACCTTCACTAATTTGCATGTTGGGTTCAGCGTACCTGTTTCTTGTTGCCGCAGGCAGAATGTACACTTGGAACTGGATTTGAGATCAAGATCGTACCCAAGACGCTTCACAATGATTTGAACATGTCTGTCCACAAACCAGCAGTGGGTGTGGTAGCCGATGCTAGATTCATTGCCTATTTTCTCAATCATTTTCATCCAGAGCCAGAGTCTGAGATAGTTCTTGCAGACTCGTCAGCTCTACTAGTGCCCCAGACGAACAACATCAGTGCTGGCGGATTGGGACCATAGAAGATTCCCTTCGGTGGCTTCACATACTTTCCAGCACTACTTCAATGATCCCTGGGTTTTTGACCGCATGGGATAGGTGGTCGTTGAATTTTTTCAAAACAATTTACTTGAGCTGTTTTCTCATAGTTTAGGATGGTATGCAAGCTTCACCCATGCATTTGCAAGCTCAACAGAGACCAAGGCCCAAGAATCTGAGCGAGGTAGAATTCGGTCAAGGAAAACAAGTCGTTGGAGCTCCAGATTGTTGGGATGGTATTGATGTTTTCAACTTTTACATACTAAACCAAACAACAATGAATGCACTAAATGATCCAAGAACTATCCATCCATGACTGTCGTCAATCTCTGTATCCCTTCTGCCCCATCCTCCAGCCATGAAAATGCAGTACTTCGATGCTTTCATCGAGCACTCCTGACACCGAAACTTTGTGTTTCTTCCACTTATCTCAATCCATGGCCGTGACTGGTGACTCCAATCCATGGCTTCAAGCCATGACTGAAACCCAAGAGGGTCATCCACTCCCAGCTCGAGGAGGCCTTCGACCAAGCAGCCGCGGCACAACTTCTGGCGGAGCGCTCCGCCTACCCCGCCGAGCTCCTCGAGGTCCGAAGCGACCAGTGACGAGCGACCGAAGCCAGCGGTTTTGGGGGGTGGAAGGAAGCTGAATGATTCTCTTGGCTGAAAGCCATCATAGCATCAGGTTCTCCGGACATCAGGTTCTTGGTCACTTAAACGATTTCTATACGATTGCTTCCGTGGGAGGAGGAGCTGTAGCTGGTGGGGTGGACTTTTCAACCCGAGCTTTTATTTTTCCCCGGGTGGTGTGTGGACTGGGTGGACACCGAATGGGTCGACACGGTCTTACAAGTTTTGGAACTTGGGATTGGACATGATTAACACCCACATCATGGTTTTGACCAACAGGTCAAGTGTTGGGTCAACTGAGTAGCCTGGCCAAGAGTGGACTATTTCGTCAGTCCAATATTTACGATGCTCAACCACCCTGAAATAGCTAGTGACTAGGTGGAACAGCTTTATTCATGTTCATTCTGATAGTGTCCATCAACACTATGAGACAAGGAACTCTTTGGAGAAGCTGGAGCAGCTTGTAGAGGTAGACATGACAGTAAGTGAACCCCCGGCCGAAGTGCAAGGTGACACCTAGAGAAGGGCACGTTCGATCTTAGCAGCTAATCCGTTGGACTGTCATTTGCCGCCTTTAGGCTGGTAGGTTTGCGTCAGTTTACGAGCTTAAGGGAAGCATCGATGTGACGAATCAAAAGTTCACCCCTGAGGCTCTGGGTGACTTACAACTTACGACTGGCTCACCCTGATCCAGATGGGCTTGGATTTCCTACGATCATTTTGGATAAGCAAGGGATGGAGAAACCTACGACTCCCTGGCATCATGCAAGTAGAAAATGGCCCCTGGGATGACCATGCTCCGAATACCAAACAGGATCAAACAGGTGGTTTTCCACTTCCAGGGATTCCAGGCAGGGATTCCAGGCCGTGTGCCTCAGATGGGAAATGCCTCGCGATTGGTTTGGTCCAAAGGCTTTTCACTCCGCCGCCAGCTTCATTGTTTCCAACCAATCACTCATTCCTCGCTATATCTTTCACTCGCGCAAACAATCGCTCGTTCCTGTCGGTCGCCAAAATCGGTCTGCAGCGTGCACTCGGAAAGGCACGGATTCCGGCTGAGGCCGTCGAAGCTTTTTGGACACAAAACTGTGGTCAGGCCTTGAACGACTGGGCCGCTGGGATGATGTGAAGTCGGTCGAGGTACGGATGGAGTCGTTTCTTCGACCGGTGAAGGATGTGGGAACAAATGACCTTGATAGGTGGTGAAGTGCTTTCACAATCTTGAAGCTTGAACAACATGTGTTTCGCAACTGTGATTCACCCAAACTTCCTATGGGCCGAACGCAAGGAATCTGCCCAGTGTGCACTTGGACGTCGGCAGCTTCGTATTGGTGAGTTGACATGAGCTAGCTAGCAGCGACGCTTTCCCCATCAAAGCTGGGAGATTCTCAAGGTCAAAGCACCCACACCAACAGTTAAGTGACCGCCACAGAAGCACCCGGTTCACCCAACTGGGATAGTCGAACTAGGGTGAATTCAACCTTTGCACCCACAGTTCTGGTGTTCTTTCCAGTCTTCTTTGCTCATTGGACCAGCAGTCACCGAAGCACCTCGCATGTGAAAAACATTGACAAACTCTTTGGAGTCATGTTTTTATGGGGCCCAGACAGTGACAGTCCAGGTAACCATGAGGACGGGTCAACAGAGAGATTAGAGTGACTATCGAGATCCATATATCTGTCGGGATAGCACGTTGCAGGGTACTGGAACAGCTTCGTTCGTTGGAGAGAGGGTATGCTTAGGGTGTAGCCCATTTTACCAACCATCATCATCCACTGTTACTGCATGGTCATAGGATAGACCCGAGGTATGTGTATTTCTAAAAAAATAGACGCACGTCCCCAGGAAGAGGATTTACAACTGGGTGGCTTTCTACAGCGCAGCACGGGCGATCGGCGGCCCAAGGAGAGCAAACGAGGAAAAACGGCCCAGTTGATTGGTACATGTGCGACCAATCGCCAAACCCACGGAACAGGTGGAATGAAATACACCTTTGGCTTGGCTTCTGGAGAAGGGGAGCAGTGAGGTGAAAAGGAGTTGAGCGGTATGAAGAGAAGAAAAACAATATTAATATTAACTTATTGTTTTGCAGTGACAGGGGGCTTCCACGAAGCTGCAAGAAGACACGATCAGATCATGAAACTGAATGTGTTATCATTGGAAAGGGGTTGAGGAGATCATGACTTTGGACATGGCTTCTGAACATGTAGCTCCATGGTAAGCTCCCAACGTCGCTTTGTCAATGACTCCTGCCTGAGTGCACACTGTACATCAGCTGCCGCCCAGTGCATCCCTGAAATCAACATGAATCAACCTTTGCACTGAACCAAGGTATATCGTCGCCGATCGTCACGGCAGTTAGGCTGAAAGAAGTTGCTCGTGGATTCATTGGGGCTAGTGACACTCTAGAAGACTCCCATCAAACGTATGTATATACACCTACAGGGAGAGTCGCCTCGCCACCCTTTGCGACAAAGTTTGCGACTTTGGTGCCATCAATGCCATTCTTAGATCCTGTTGGACAAACTTGTGGGCCATGGGCTGTAGCCAGAACAATTGGAACCTTCATGTTCCCAAGGCATTCAGGTTGGCAATGTTTGACAAGTTGTGCTAAAGTTCTATCAACAGCAAAGGAGACTCAAAACACCAAAGGACCAAACCGGCTCATGATAGAATCGTTTAAACAGGTCCACGAGGTGTGTTACTGCAAGTGTTCCAGGTGGCTTTGAAACCTTTCCGATCTGACACTAGAAGTTCAGCCGCTGATCTGTGCTTTCAGGACCCTCGATCACAGTTGCTGAGGAAGATGCAGCTGGGGTGTTTCCTGCTCGCACGAGCCACTGGAAGGAAAGATTGGACCCAGGTTCTACCTGACCAATTGGACATGTGTGTTTGGTAGCGATTAGTGGCGTGTGTGGGCTACTGGATAAATGTGTTTCCTTTGTACTTTTTCAAAGGGAACTTCCATGCACCAACAATGCCTTTGTTGAAAGGAAAGGTCGACAAGGAAAGCCTTCCAATTTCAAGCCCCAAAGTATGAATGAGCCCTTTCAGAGGCATGCCTGCCTCGTTCGTGGCTGACCGTGGCTGACCTCTTTTCCGCCGTCCTGCCGTCCTGCCGTCACAGCTCCTCTCAGGTCCGCGTGCAGGTGGGGGTGGAAAAGCAGCGCGCAGCGTGCTCCGTGCAGCGTGCCGCGCAGTCCGCGGTCGCGGAAGTCGCGGTCGCGGAAGTATCATCAACCCACTAAGCTGGAGGGTTGGTTCGGGTCCGTTCGCCCCTGGGAGGTCGGTCTTGGAGCCTCCAGTTTGCACAAAAGCCGGGACTCATAGGAAGGTCATACCAGGTCATACCAAACATTCTTGAGCATTCTTAGTATCTGTGAATAACCCTGGTGGCGATGACAAGAGAGAAACTGCGAGCAATGGACATGTCCATGTTGGATGGGCATGACTGCGGGGTAGGACGCTTGGGTCAAACAGCTATGCTGATCCGGGTTTTTGAACATGGCTCTGGAAGAGAAATGTGTTCTCAAAACAGGCGCAGCCCAAAATATAGCTTTTACAACGATCGGGGCAAAGCCACCCTCCTCGTCTTGGTGCTCAGCCCCCAACCTCCCAACCTTGACACCCAAAGGCCAGATCTAAAATCGGAATAATGGGATGGG